GCCCACTTCATTTAAAGTGGTCTCCTACAGCACAGAATCATAGACATTTAGGATTGAGAAGGGACCTTGATATGTCATCTTGTCCAGTCTCCTACACTGAGGCAGGGCTAAGTATTATGTAGACCATGTCCTTAAAAACCTCTAACAGAGATTCCACAACTTCCCAAGGAAATCTGTTTCAGTGCTTAACTACCCTTACAGTCAGGAAGCTTTTCCTAATGTTTAACCTAAATCTCCCATGCTGCCATTTAAGTCCATTACTACTTCTCCTGTCCTCAGTGGTTAAGAAGAACCTTTTATCACACTCCTCTTTATAACAACTTTATACATCCTTGAAGACTTATGTCCCCCTTCAGTTTTCTCTTCTTCAGACTAAACAAACCCATTTTTTCAATCTTTGCTCATAGGTCATGTTTTCTAGACCTTCAATAATTTTTGTTGCATTCATGCATTCATCTGGACTTTCTCCAGTTTGTCCACATCTTTCCTGAAATGTGGCACCAGGAACTGGCCACAATACTCCAGTTGAGGCCTTATCAGTGCTGAATAATGTAGAATAATTCCTTCTTGTGTCTTGCTTAGAACATTCCTGCTAATACGTCCCAGAATTATGTTCTTTTTTTTTTTGCAAGAATATTACTTTATTGACTCATTGATATCCACTGTAAACCCCGGATCCTCTTCTGCAGTCATTTTATATTTGTGCGATTGATTTATTCCTTCCTAAGTGAAGTACTTTGCATTTGACCTTCCTGAATTTCATATTATTTATTTCAGACCATTTCTCCCTTCTTCCATTTCACAAATCCTTTCCCACTCTTTCACGGTGTGTGGGTCTATATAGAAGCAAAATAATGAAAGAAGGATGATAAAAAGAGGTAGGGAAGAATGAAGGGCAGGAGAAAGAGGGGAGAAAATGAGAGGGAGAAGAGAAAAGAAAAGAAGGGAAGAGGAGAAAAGCTATAATGCATTCCTCCTGTGCTTCTACATCAACTCACTCAACCTAAGAAAGCAAGTAGTAATGACTAATTTAATTATCCTTTTGCAATGCATATTGAAAATTCCACAGATCCTAAGTAAGTCAGAATTTGTGAAGTTCCCTAACTAGTTTGCGAAGGGGAATGATCTATTTTCCCTGTACAAATACACATTTTTTTACTCTCTACTGTTAATCAATTTGAGCCTCAATAGAAGTCACTGCAAATTACAGGATGACCAGATGATCTGAAAAATCACAGCTCTCAAAATGCAGTGCAGGCAAGTACATTTGGTCTGCTGAGGATATCTTTGGTTTTATCAAAATGTATTTTTAAATGGTCTTGTCACTCTCAGGACTGAATTTCAGCCAAGCACTGAGATAATTTCCAAAATATCAGCTGCATCACACAATCGTACTACAGCTGGATGTTGGCATTAGGTAAAACAGGAATTAAATGAATTTGTGATTGCATCAGACTAGCCAAGCAGACCTGGTGTTCTGGGCACTCCCAAAATATCCCTTGGTGAACCAGATCAAATGCAACTGCAAACTGAGTAAGATTAAAACTGACAGCAAGCTAGTATCTATCTAAGGACATATGTAAATCAGTGTGACCCTCAGTATGACAGTGTTAGTGCTGCGACCTGGTCTGAAGCTGTAAAAGAAACTCTCTTGTAAGAAATGATGGCTTACATATGAGCCCGTGACCCTAAGACAACCATCTCCTATTCCAGAAACATGAGTGCCTGAGACATGACAATGTGTTCTACTATAAATCATTCAATTTAAGTGTATTTTAAAATAAGAAGTATAGTACCAAACTCTGTTCAAAGTGATGCTAGCAAATCCCACCATAACCATGTTGTCTGCAGTACAGTTGGATCTGTGTTGGTCCCAGGAGAGTTCTCCATAGCTCGAAAGCTTGTTCCTTCCATCAGCAGAAGTTGGTCCAATAAAAGATATTACCACACCTACCTTGTCTCTACCATAACAATAGCAGCAGCAAAGCGAACTGTGATTGCCATATAGTAAAACTTGGCTGAACTGTACTCTGCTCAACCAGAAACCCACAAACCAGCCCTGAAAATGGATTTCTGATTTTGTAGAATCCATGAGGCTCTGCTGCTGTCTCTAGAACGGGACAGTGGGAGTGATATCGTGTGTTCCATGGCCAGTGGGGGCACACTTCACTTCCTGCAACCTTAACTGATTTGTGGGTATGTTTAAGTACTTATGGGTAGGTGCTTATAATTTGTCTTTAATCATGAGTGCTACTTTCCACCCCAGGTACTTACTTGCTAGAGTGCAGACCTTAGCCTGGGTCTCCTTTCCCTTAGTGAGGGTAAGTGAATTTCTGCTCTGCATTTGGTCTCTTAAATCACATTTTCTCACATATTTGATAGGCTGTAAAATACAATAATCTGCAGCAGGTCTCCCCTTCTTAAAATTAGAGAGCTTGTTCTACTGTAACTCAACAGGCTGCAAATTAACACAACCTGTAAAGTGTCCATAAAAGACTGTGATTGGAAAATGGCCTTTTGGCAACCACAGAAACATAAAGGGACTAGAGAGAACTCATGATGGTGTGGGGTTTGGGATAGCAGCATTATTCAGGTAAGAAATGTTCTCTGTAGACTGATTCCTGACCTTCAGGAGCAGCATTATGGGCACCAAAGACTATTTGCTTCCTACTAAGAAACAGAATCTGCATCCCTGCTAATGAGAGAGGTAGTGCTGGTTAGTGGGTAGAGCACTGGATTGGGACTCTGGAGATCTGGGTTGTAGTCATAGCTCTGCCACTGACCTGTCAGGTGACCTTAGACAAGTCACTACACCCTGCTGTGCCTGTTTCCTTATCTGTAAAATGAAAGCTCATGATACCTTCTTTGTAGAATGCTTTGAGATCTACTGATGAAAAGTGCTATATAATAGCTAGTATTATTATTGGAGGAGAACCAGGGAGACACCTTGTAGCTCAGCTAAAATGTACTGGAACACGAGTGCTTTTACAAAATATTGTGGAGAAAGAGAAATGATATTGCTAAAAAACAAGGGCTGTCACTCTTTAACAGAGACCATTGACAATAAGCATTTGTAATACACGGAGAAGTTTTGTATTCTTGTCTGTGGAAGAGATCAGAGTGGTTCCCAGCCCTGGAGTCTTGTTTTCAGTGGAAACCTCAGAAGGTTAGGGCAGAAATCGCATTATGAATGACATGCCCAGTCAGACTGGTGCAAGCCACTACATTTGAGAGAGAAATGGGGCAAGCCCTTCCCAGCACCCCTTTGCATATAAAACCCACAAAGCTGCCCTTGGCCCTGGCTGGAGGAGGTATGAATGAGAAAAGAGCGGAAGCCTCATCCAATGAGATTGTGACACTCACTCATTATAGGCCTGAGGTGCGATTAGATAAAAACATCAACAAGCTAGAGGGGACAGGGATGATTACAAAACTGGAAGATTTGAATTACAAGGAAAATGAACTCCATCCATCCTAACAGTGTATACATATTTGAAAGATGTAAGTACCAAAGACAGAAGAATTATTTATTGTGATTATCCTATTCAGTGGAGAATAATCAAATGGAATTAAGAAAGGGAAAATTAAGGCTGAATATCAGGAAATACTTTTTTTTTAAGTGATCCATTAGGCTGAGGAACAGTCTCCAAATGAAGTATCAGAACCCTGTTGTTTGGGACATTTGAAATGAGTCTAGAACACCGGAGAAGGTCCTGAATGGAACAATGTTGCATTAGCAGAGAGATTTGCTAGATGACCTTATGAGGTAGGACTCTTTCACCTCTGATGTCTGACTATATGATTCAAGGTATGGTAAAAGTGAAAACTCATATAATTGAAAAATATAAAAGTAAGTGTGTGTTAACAAAACACTATATTTATTAATAAAATACTGTGAAACAAGGCATCTGACTGGTAAACACTCACACTGTACTGGTATCTGATATTCTCACAAAGGTAAAAATGTGCCATTCCTGAAATAATATTTTAAAGGCAGCTTTCCACAACATTTTTTTTCTCTCTCAGCTGTATAATTTCTCCAACAAATTACATCAGCTTTGAAAAGGGAAGATCCCTAGCTTTGCAATGAGACATGCACCACTTCCTTCTAGCCCCAAAAGGTCATCTACATTATAGGGCTTGTCTACACTTGAAACCTTACAGTGGCACAGATGCAGCAGTGCAGCTGTGTCTCTGTACCCCTTCAGTGTAGACACTACCTATGTCAATAGCCATGTTTTTTTTATGTATAAGGTCACAAGTTTTAATGTTTTGGCCTAAATTTTCAAAAGTGACAAGTGAGTTTTGGTTCTTCAGTTTTTGGGTGCCCACCTAGACACACCTTAAAAAGGGTGATTTTGAGATGGCAGATGTTCAGAACTTTTTGAAAATCAGACTGAATGTGCCAAGAACTGAAGCACTGAAGATGACTTTTGAGAACGTAAGCAGTTCTCTCCTGATCCTTGTAAAGTCAGTCTCAAAGTAATTTGGATTAATAGACAGAGGAATACAAGAAATAACTGCAATATAACCATTAAACAGATCTTTCCAACGCATTTCTAAAAAAGATTTTCTATTATGTGTATCATATACGGACGTCATGAGAGAGTGGTGTAGTATGTAGTTTTTATTGCCAGCATGATTTTGAGAGGTCCAGAAACAGTAGAATATTTTGCAAACATTTTTTTAAATTACTGGTTTTAAGAAGTTTCAACCTGCTGTAAAACTGGGAAAAAATCTGGGGGAAGAAATCCCCTATTTCTGTTGAATTTTTGAGGGAAAATGTTGTAAACAATTTCAGCCAGCTCTGCTTGCAACTCAATATTTAATGAGTCATTTACTAACAAATATAGGTAGTGATAATTTCAAATTGATTTTATATAAAGAAAGAACCCATTCTTTTTTAATTGGCTGCAGCTTTATTTCATGTGTATCTGCAGCCCTAAGTATGGACAAATTACTGCAAAATGTTGCATAGTACTTTCTGGATACACACTTACTGTATACTTGTAGCTGTCCTCTGAAGACATTCCTTCCACGCGAGTTTTCAGCTTTACATTCGTACATCCCTGCATCCTCTAGCTGCACATTAGGTATTTCAAGAACAGCTTGGGACTTTCTCAGACGGGCTTTACTTGGATTATGATCATTAACTTTCCTCCACGAGATTGTTGGAACAGGGCTGAAATATTTAGTAGAATTACCGTTAACACTTTTCTACTATTAAGAATATAGATTCTGTTATCTGGTAATTTAAGTACTTAATAGTCTAAGTGGCAATAAAGTGTAATCACAATTAAGGCCCATGTACTGCTTGATATACTTCACATTCCATAGGGAATGTCTAATAAGTGGTGCTGCTGTATAGGAGCCATCCCTATCTTCTACAAAGGAGATTAAATTTTCATTCAGATTAAGTAAATCGTTCCAAATGCTCTCTTCAGGGATTAATCTGCTCTCCAAGTTTTACTATTGTTACCTTGAGCACCTTCGTTTAATGGTTAAAGGAAATAACATCTCTTACGCCTGGGCAAACTTTATAAGTGCAGCCACTCTACCAGCTTCCTGTGATGTTATTTTCGAGAATGATATTAACAACACAGTAGGCTGGAAAGTATTTGGGGTATGCCTGTCTATAAATGCAGATGGGATGTTATAATACTACCACATATCAAATAAAATATAAATGTCTCAATCATTTTATGGGCCTCCATAGTAAAAAAAAAACATAGTTATAAAAAAAACTATGATATATTTGTAGAAATATTTTTAAGGGTTAAAATAGTCACTTTTAAGAAAAAAAAGTGTACTGGTGTCATTATTTCTAGCTTCAGACTCAGTGACATAGACATATTTCTTGAAATGCAGGTTTTTTCCCCCAGTAGCTTAGTGTTCTGAATAAGTGTGTCATGAAACACTGAACAAGTGTCTTTTAACCTTTATGTTGAGCAAAAGAACAGATTTGAGAATGTCATACTCATTCAACTTTTCTCATCACGCCAAACACTCAGCACTCATTCCTTTGCACTATTTTTCCAATACTTTCAATACACTCTATGTGGTATAATAATATAACATATTTTGTAGCTCTAACAACAACTCCAAACATTTTCAAAGCCGAAGTATTTCAGGTCTTCTGACAGAAGTTCCTAGGAGACATCATATGAAGAAATGGGATTGTGCCACATAGTCTCTTTAGTCATATGATATCTACTATGTATTTACTAGAGGAAGACCTCAAATCAAAAGCTGGATATAAACACCACTGAAATTTGGGAGAGTTTGCATTTGGACCAAAATTCATAGATTAGGCCCAACTCTACAATCATTCACACTTCTGACCTCTCTTATAAAATCTAATCTGCAGGGTTTGCACTAATCTTACAAGAAAAATGAACTGGTGCCTAGAACAGAAAAACATCAGCAGCAAAAATTATACTTTTGTGCCTCATTTTTTGGTTTCTTAACTTCTGTTATTTACCTTGGGGCTAGTTATATATAGAGATACTAAGCCCTCAGAATTCCACATCAATTCTTGGAGCTGCAGGTGCTTAGCAAATGAAAAAAAAAACAGGCCCTAGACATCTCAAGCTCGGCAGCCAAAAAATTATGGTGTTATGAATGAATGAATACATGTTAATACATACATTCATAATAATTATGATCATAGAGTTCCCAGGTTTCTCTTGTTCTTCATATACATAACCCTCTTCTTATTGACCTTAGCCCTGTCACTTAGCCATGGATTTTTCCCTGATGTCTTTAGCTTCCCTTTTCAGTCTTCTATACTTTATAACATCAAATGTATATTGATTGCTATCTGTTTCCACTTTTTCCACTGATATATTGCTTTTTTACTTCTAAGTGCTGCCTTCACTTTGCCACTGTACCAGCATGGGCTTTCAGTCAAAGCTGTGCTCCTTGATTTGTGGAATTGTGTTTTTTTGGCCATCTAATAAATTCTTCTTAAAGATCTCCCATTCATTCATTCATTCATTCATTCATTCATTCATTCAGGATCACTGGTCACAAGGCAACTACAAACTTACATGACAGTGATTAATTCATATTCATCCTTCATCATGGGGTTCAAAACAGAGTTATATAATGTTGACTGAACAATTGCTGTGTGAGCAAGACTTCATGGAGAAACATGGAAATATTTCACTATGCATAAGGTTGCAAAAAATTTTGAGCCAGCACTGTTATCTGGGCTGCAATCCTGATTTAAATGAAATCAATGGCAAAAGACCCCTTTATTTCAGTGTTTCAGGATAGAGTCCCATTGACTAGTAGAATTTTCCTAGCATATCTTTCAGAGAAACACTGAAGAAGTCTCGAAGTACTGAAGTTAATTTGTACAGAAGTACAGAAGTCACTACGTATGTATCAAAAATGTTGTACTATGTATCAAAAATGTTGTATAAATTGCACCAGACTTATTTATTTTTAAATTTACTTTAATTGCACATTGTAGCAAGGTAGAGCTTATAGGATGGAAAATACTAAAAGAACTTTTTGCCATGGCCTAGATCATTAAGAAACATATTTTTAATAATCATGGTTTTTCTCATGATGAGGAGGGAATAAGTGGAATTTTTCAAGGGGATAAAAATACTTTGGCTGCAAAGATCTAATGATTTCAAAGGAAAATGCTCCCACACTGCAAATCACTATTTATAGACAAGTTGGAGCTCCGTTTAATGAAGCTTTTTTTTCCCTTGCATAAGTCACAAGCGAGGTATGAATTTTACATCTGAAGTGAAAAATACAGCCACATGGGTTTATCCTTGGTGACATTTATTAAAAAAAAAAGAAAGGATAGAAAAAGAAACACTGTATACCTCAGTGAGGATATCAAAGAATAAAGTTTACATCTTTGCTCTAGAAACCTCAACTTCTAGCATAAAAATGTTATGTGATGCATACATCTTCCATTTAAAAATATTTAGAGCTTTTAAAAAAGATTTTGATGATTCATGTTGGAGTTAGTTGCAATTTACATAATTAGTACAAATCTATAGGAATGTTTGCCTTTGCTTATATTTTATTAATATATATATAAATTTCAAATACAGACCTTTACCTTTAAGCACTGAGTACAAATAGGAGGGCTTGCACATCTCACCCGTGAAACAAAGCTACATCTCTGGACACCTCAAGTGAAATTTTAGCCCTCTAAAAGACAACGTCAAAACTTCTATCGATTTCAACAGGGTCAGGATTCAGGTCTAGCCTTAGGGGTGGGACACCAGGGCCACCACTTAGGGCACTGTGGTCATGGGCCACTGTGTGGCAGCATAGAGATACACACTGCTAGTAGGCAGAGGAGCTCCACAAACTCACAGAGGCAATGCAAGGTGGGAGGTATATGCCCAGATTTCTCCCTGCTTCTTTCTGGCAGAGGAATGTGAGTGGGGGGCAAGCAGTGACACACAGATACTGCTTGCTCCCTCCAATGTTTCTGCCTCCTTACGGGTTGTGTGGAGGGGAGTGAGGAACAAAGCCAGGAGTCCCTGCATCCAGGTCACTTTCCCCACCTGGGCTGTGCTGAGAGGTGAGCATCAGGAGCTGCTGCTCTCCTGCCCTCTCCTTACGCAGCCCAGGTGGGGAAAATGACCTGGACACACGGAGCTCTGGTGTTGCTCCTTGCTCTTCCCTCCCAGCCACCTGGGGGTGGGGGTGGGGGGGAAAGAGGAGCAACATTTGAGGAGGGAGCGAGCAGCAATACCAGCCACTCTGTGCATCCAGGTCAGTTTCTACATATGGATGCAGGATGGGAATGCAGTGTTAGGGGTGCATGAGGGGAGTGCAGGGGTTGGGACTAAAAGGGCACAGTGCAGGGGTTAAAGGAGAAGGAGACACAGGAGGGGTATGCAGTGTTAGGGGTGCATGAGGGGGGTGCAGGGGTTAAGGGAGAAGGGGACTTAGAAGGGGAGTGGGGAAAAGGGACACAGGAGGGTTTAGGGGAGAAAGAGTTATTAATTATTATTATGTATTTTACAAATAATTTCAGACATATGCATCAGACTAGAGTCCTGAAATCATGTTCAATTTTATCAGTGACTACTATCTCTCAGCTTCCCTGCAGTAGCACAAGATGGGTCCATCTCCCACTCTGTCTGCCTGGGTTCTCTCCTTCCCTTACTTTATTCTTGAGAGCATGCAGAAATCTATCAGCAGGAGCCAGAGATTTGATCCTGAAACCTTTACTCTGCAAGGAGTCCTTACCCGTATATTTAATCCCACTGAACTCATGAAGGTTGCAGGATCTGTTCCTGGCACCTCCATCAATACAAATTAAGCACTGGGGGCGGGGGGAGGCAGCGGGTTCTGGGGGCAGGTAGCCCAGGTGTGATGGGGGGCAGGGAGCCCGTGCGGGCCATGGGCAATGGGGGGCACCATGACTTGGGGAAATGGGGGGCACAACACCCCTGGGGTTCAGGGGCACCAAAACACAAGTTCGCCCAGGGCACCATTTTCCCTAAGACTGTCCCTGTCAGGATTACACTTCTTACCCAGTTCAGCTGAAATAAACGTTTTGTGTAAAGCTCTGTTTGTGACTATGGGTACATCCACACTTTGAATTGGGGGTGTCATTCCTAGCTCAAGCAGACATACCTGTGCTAGCTTTGATCAAGGTAGCACACAAAAATAGTCCAACTGTGACAATGTGAGTAGAGGGAAGGGATAGTCACTCCACGTACAAGCCCTTCCAAGATGTGTGTATTCAGGGTGGCTAGCCCCTCCTGCTTCTGGTGCTATCATTAATATTCTCAGCACAGTACCTCCACCAGAGCTAGTGCAGGTATGTCTCATGAAGGTGGGAATCACAATGCCATCTCAAAGGGCAGACATACCCTCTGAGAGATCAGAATTAATTCTACGTGAATGTCTGCACAGTATGCATATTAAGATGAATGTGAAGAAAATATGAGCTGGATTTCATCTCAAATAGACTCTAAGAGTGGTGTTTTCAAAAGTGCTCAGCACTGACCTAACTCTTCTTCCTTTGAAGTCAGTGGAGCTTTTACCATTGACTTGAATGGAAAAGTTCTAAACACTTTTTGAAATCCCACCATAAACCACTCTAGTGTCATGAGCACCCAATTCCTCATGAAAAAGAACTTGCTAGGATCCATCAAGAATATACTTATTGCAGAGAGAGGTCATGCTAGAACT